GGTGCAGGTACTGGTTTATGTTCACAAACTTGTCTTCATAATCTCATTTATCTGCTCCAGTTGCTTTGTATGGCACAAGTGGTACAGAAGACTTGTTTATGTTTTTCTTATCCAAAACTTGATAAAGAACAGTGAACTTTTTATGTAATGCATCTTCTCAATTGTGATACTATGTATTTGGTTTAGAGCTTTGCTCAGACAGTTTGAACCTGGATCCCCTTTTATTGCACTTGCTGTATTTTCTCTCACAAGACCTATCACAGCAGATATGAAGCTAATATTCTGACTTCCTATCATATGATTCTCTGTCCTTGCTAATGGTGATATTGCAGACATATTACAGCATGAAACACTTCAAACAAATCCCTATATACTGGTCCTTTGATAGCAAGTTTCAGCAGGAACATAAATAGCTAGAGCGTATTCTTGTCTCCTATTTTGTCCTCCATTTACACAGTTTAACTGATCGTATTGCTAATGGATTTTGAGTTACTCCGGTGCAAGCTTTTATTATGTGGATTATATGTCTTATGTTCTGCTCTGAAAGTCTTTCAGTTTCTTGTTTTGCTTTGAAATCCGAGATAGAATATGGATGTAGGTATATGTTACTCTTGGGTGGGTTTCATTTGAGAAATCATGCTCTAAGTTGAATTTCATCTTGTTTTTGGGATTTTTGAAACCTAATGCTATATTTTCCTGGATTTGTTTTTTCGTGCTGAAGTTATTCTCGATAATGTCCCCTAATTTGTTTCTCTCACCAATCATTTGGAAAATTTTGCCCCCACTATCACTTTATCATGCCGATTCTCCTATTTGAATACCCCTACCTATATAAATCATGATATAAAATGTAATGTGGAGGAACCACTGTCTCTCTTCAAGTCTAAATTTTATTTTGACAATTGACTTTTTAACTTCTCTATTAAGGTTTTATGTTTAGTTAATTGTATGTGCTCACCTTAGTTCACGAAGAATTATGTTGTTTCAATCAATAATATTTTTGACTTTGTGGCAGCTTTTCTGGCGTACAAGGGATCTTGGCTATTTGTTGGAGTCGATTATGATTCTGGAATTTGGTTTGACTATCCGAAGGTTTGGCATTTAACTTCGCTGATTATTTGCTGTCAGTGCTTCATGCTATTCCTTTAGACTGTTTGCATGAATGATTGGCTGTTTGCATATTAAGTCAATAGACTCCTGATGCCTTAAGAACGTAGACTTTATATCTTGTTGGTTGTCACATTGCTATATGCCCTTGGAATAATGCTGGAGATCTCCTTGAAGTTTGCATAGAGACCTTACGGATTTTCTTTTATGCCCTGAATTCTTGTACGTCCATAGTACTAGGAAGAAAAATTGTTGAAACAGTATACTTGCATGGGTTGCAACAGTTTGGGTTAGTCTGAATGCCAATGGTGTCGGTCATGGTTGTATTTATTTTGGACCTTTGTCTTGTATTGAATGTTAGCAAAGCATGCAGAACGCACTATACTATAAAATGTGTTGTATCTCTCTTGCATTGATGTTTTTCTGAGATGAATGTCATAGCTTTATTCCGAGAATATGTGTACAAACAAATTGCTGCTACATCTAAATCTCACAGTTTCTTATTTTCATTGTCTTTTGCAGATATGTGTGGCAATATAAGATTTTGTTGGTGCATCTTTATACTTACTGGAATTCCCTTCCATTAGCTTATGAACGGTAACCAATTCTTCAGCTTTACCAAATTCTGCTACTATGTGGCTTGGATGGTTGACTAGAGGGTCCGATTTGAAATCTGTATTGAGTTCTCTGTTTTACTGCACCCTGGTTTTGAGTTTCTTTCTTCTATGTAGTTATAAATCCTTGGATGTGAAGAATATCTTGCTGGAGACAGTATCTCACCACATTTTACCACAAATGTTAGTATCTCCTCTGTGGGCAGATTTAAATGATCTATTGAAGGATTATTTAAAATTTATGGATGATCACTTTCGGGAATCAGCAGATCTTACATTCCTTGCGTATCGACATAGGAACTACTCAAAAGTAAGTTGGATGCTTTTAAAAGTGCTTTATTATATTTAAACTTTTAATATTCTTGAGTGACTTGTCACCGTTCTCTTGGATCTGAAAGTATCCTCAAGCCGTGTTCAGCTAGCCCATGTATAGAATGGGTAATTTTTATTTTAGAAAAGAAGCTTTGGACCTTGGGAACTTAGTATCCATTTATCTGTTTCCTTTCAATTTTTGGATGAAAATCATTGTTAAATAGTTAAGATTGGTATGTGCATCTTCTTTTATCTCGATATTTTAGATGCAAACTCAAAAGATCCCAATTCATTTTCTGAAAATCTAACTCCTGTTATACTTGCTTAACATCTCGGGTGGGGATAACTGGCATTGAGTGGAGTTACTGCATCGAAATTTTGTTAAAAGATATTTGATGAAAGTGTCTGTTAGAGCACCAAAGTGTGGTACATGCGGCATTTTGTTAACGTGATTTAGTTTTTTGGAACACACTCTTGAAATTACATGTATTGCTTAAATTATAGTTTTGTAGATGCTCTTTGTAAATCTCCCAACCCCATGTCCCAACCCCATGTCATGTTTTCGTAGAGGCTGATGTTCTGTTATAAAATCAAGAAAGGATAATTGCTAGAGCACAAAACAGTTACACATAAACATCTGATAATGGCAAATGCTAGTTGACATTTAGGGGTTCAATATGTGAGTAAAATTGTCCCAATGCTTCTTTCTCATGAAAGAAATAAACAAGTCTCTTGTCACCAAATAGCACTTTGTTTGCTATAATAAAACTTGTAGTCTTACATTTTTCCTTGTCTAGGACATAAGCTGATTATAGTCCTTTGTAGTTTAATGATTGAACTTGATTTGTGTTTTTATTTTTATTTTTTCATAGGAGTTTAAGCAACTTTATTTGAATGTGCTATGTGACAACTTACAAATCCTCTTCTTTTTTGATGTTATAGGTTATTGAATTTGTGCAATTCAAGGAAAGATTGCAGTGTTCTGGTCAGTATATAATGGCAAAGATTGAATCACCCATTTTACAACTAAAACAGAACTCAAATAATATTACCGAAGAGGAGGTAAATATGTTCTGCCCCTGTGTTTTACCACTTGTTATCTGTTTTACCACTTGTTATCTACAAGATTATCAAACTTATATCTTAGCTCCAAATTTTGGGAAGAACCGATGTTTCCAGATTTGATATGTACGGTTTAGCATTTTTCATTTATCTTGATTTAGTGAAAAAAGTTTTGATGATGCTAGAGATAGATCACCTTAGATAGTTGAAGTAGGATGAGCTGGAAGAGCAGAGTGGATCACTGGCTCACGAGCTTGATGACCTTGAGATACCTGCGATTATAGAACACGGGAACTAGGCCGGGGGTTGATCCGGCGGAAACCCCTCCGACGCTCAAGTCAGACGTGCGGATGGTAGAAATAGTCCAGAGAATACATGTCTTATTGCTCAGATAATAGGACGTACCTTAAGGAATGAGTTCAAACCTTTATTTATAGCTTAGTTGAGATTGTCGGGCCCAAATCTTACTTGAAGGTGATTTGGGCCTCGGTGATAGTGGTCTTAAATATTGGGTTCGTGACCCATTAGGTAAAGAAATTGTAGGCCCAATGGGTTGGCCCAATTAGGCATATCAAGTTTCTATGTCACTAATTAATACTAATCTAAAATCTAATACAATAGAAAATGCCAAAATAAAAAAGAACTCTCTTTTCTGTATGCGCTTCAGTTGGCATTGTGCGCTTCAGTCTATCAGAAAAGTACAAAGAGCTTTCGAGAAAACCTGTTTACTGAACTTTAACTTTTACCCAAATGAGAATATTTCTGAACAAAATTCTTTCTCAGAGCATCCTGGAAAATTTGAGATGTGGAACTCACTTCATGGAGCTATCAAATGAGATCAGAAGCAAATCATTGACCTTTAATGAGGACCTGAAATTGCGACCTTGGTGGACGCCAACTTCTGATAAAAATTATCTCTTGGGTTAGTATTCTCCCTTCTAATTTCATAGTTGTAAAAACTTAGTTGCAAAAAACAGATGCCCGTTGCTTTATCCAGGGATTTCTACACCAATAATCTTTCTTAATGCAATTTCTCCAATGGCGTTTATTTGTCCGTGTTACCCAATCTTGTCAAAAAGCTATCTTAATACTTGCTCTATGGCGATAACATCTATTGATAAATGTTTCATGTTTCCAGGACCCTTTGAAGGAGTGTCATATTGTCCTAGAGAAAACATGGTATGAATATTTTCCTTTCAACTTATTATTTTGTTGATGACATGTTTTTTCCTGATATAATGGAATTTTCAACGAAACTTTGTTGATTATCTTTTATTGTGTCCATGCGTAACTTATATCACTAAAACTGACCGCCTTTAATTTCATATAAATTCTGTAATTTTCTGAAGTTGTAAAGGATTAGATTTGCTTTACCTTTGTGTGGATCAGCAACTCATGCTTTTGTTAGGCCACAAATAATTCTTATTACTAGTATTAGCATATGCGATGGTAGCCTTGTCTTCAAATTATACATACCTGAGATATTACCAAAATCTAGTGCTTGTGGAGCTCTGTTGGATTTTTGTTTTGGGTTCATAGACACGATTTAAATCTTCTTGTATCTTATTCCATCTTTCTTTAGTACCTGCCATTTCGTCGGGTTACCTTCTTTCAGTGGTCGTCTGTGATACTGATCCAGCAAATAAAACAGACTGAAACTTTTTTTCACTATTTTTTGAAATCTGAATCTTTTCTTATTCAAATCGTTAAAAGAATTTGGCTCGTAACCAAGGTAATCTGACATCTAAGCTTCTGATAACATTTGCTTTGTTTATTCCGCTGCTGTTTTTTTCTGCTATATTGTTTTGCAAAAGACATTGATTTGTGTACCTGACATCTTTTCTTAGTCCTCGTCATTGACAGAAACTCCAAAATTGATAGTATCTTGAGTTGATTAAATAATGTGGTTCTATTTCCAAACTCCAAAATTTGATATACACCACTCTCTTGCAGCATAATCAGATGAAGCAAACAGAATCAAATGTTCTGAAAACCGTTGAGAAAAGATCTCTTCTACCAAGGATGATCTATTTGTCAATGTATTCTGCTTCAACCTCGGTGAAGGGAAGTATTGAAGCCAATGGGTCGGTAGTTGATCCGAAATTCTCATCGGAGCTAAAAATGTTACTTGAGCGCTATGCTAAGTTCCTGGAATTTCCCTTCCAAGATGCGATAGAACTTGTCCTTGGGGTTTCAAGTGGCCAGAAGCCCTTTGAGGTATGCTCTTTTTCATTTTACAGTTATCTCTTATTACTTACTATGATCGAAGTCGACAAATTGTGTCTAGTTGTACTATATGCTAGGAAATTCACTAATGATCAAGTAAATTTACACTTGCGCAGGTACCAAATTCGGATATCATTGACTGGATGAACTTTGCCGTGTTTTTGAATGCTTGGAATCTATCTTCTCACGAGATTAGTTTTCCCGATGGAAAAGATTCTCCCTCTACTACATGGAATCTTGTAAATACTCTGCTGAGAAAGTATGTCTTCGACAAGATCGAATCTGCGGGGCCCATCATTTCTTCTCCAGGTGGCGATCTTCCATTGCTGGTGCAGCTGGTAACAGAACCCTTAGCTTGGCATGCCCTAATCATCAACTCTTGCATCCGCTCGTTACACCCTTCTGGGAAGAAGAAGAAGAAAGGTGGGCCCGTGGACCAATCAAATTCCCAGCTGTCAAACGAGCTACTAAATTCAATACAGTCTCTTTGTGATACAATTGAGGTGGTCTCGAAATGGTTAAAGGAACAGCTTAAAAAACCCAGCGATGAAAAATTTGAATACATATTTTCCGCGGTTGAGAAAAACGGGCCGGGCAAAGTGTTCAAGACTTTGGAGACTTGTGTCGAACAGATGAAGGGCGTCGAACTTGGTGATAGAATTCTCGAGTCGCTACAGTCGTGGGCTCCTGCTGATGTTGTGAGGAATATTAGCGCGGGGCAAGACGGTTTGCTATCCGAGTTTCTCAAAATTTGTGAACTCAAAATTAAATCTTTGCAGGCGCTTAGACTTCAACTGTAGGTCAAGTGAGTTGAAGAGTCGGTTTCAAGTGAGAACTTAATTATTTTTTCCTGTTATGATGCACAATTTTGTTAGTTCCGTGTTTTTTTTTTCCTTTTCTTTTCCATTTAGGTTTATTTCGATTCATCGGAAGATGCATGGGAAATTGGAGTGTTTTGAGAGAGTTTTTTTCCGGTGTACCATTGATTTTCTCTATTTATATGTTGTATATTAGAATAAAAAAATGTTCTTTGATTAACAATTCTGAAATGTGTTTTGCATATTTTTCACCTAAAAGTTTATAGCTTCCATTAATTAATCTTGAGAAAGAATTTGTTTTAGTTGGTTGGTTGCCTAGTTTATGCAATTATAATCAGTTTATTAGTTATGATAGAGCAGTTGGAATCACCAGACCCTTCCATGTGAGAACTCTCTCCCGGAGCTGAAGAACTAACCACTCCCTCTATTAGAAAGTCGAATTAGCAACTTTTAGTCGAGTTTTCAAGTGGATGAGATCGGTCGAGTGGTCTCGGTTGTAGATGGTATTGCACGTATTTATCGAACCTCGTAATTTCTATTTTACTGTTACTACATTGCATATAAATTGGAGCTCGTGGACTGATTGTATAAATAAGGGGCTAATACAGATAAACTCATCATGTGCTACTTATTCATAAAGAGGATTGACCAATATTTTTGTTTGCAAAAAAATCTAAATAAAGTCCAGAGGTGTGTAAAAGATAAAAATAAACACTCATATTTTAATTTGCTCCAATTTCATCATTTTACTCAATTTAACCTCAATTCGATTCTAAATTTCACAAATTATTCAGTTTTGACTCTCAAATTTTGACTCCAATTTTAACCGTCACCGTCGGTCAGCCGCTGTCGACCGCTGTTGACTTTTTTTTTTCCCGAACATTTTTTGGCCACGTAAAAAACGGTAATATTACTGTGGTTGGCAATATATTAACTACTATATTACTGTTTAACAAAGTCATATTGTTATATTACCATCTAGCACAACAATATTAACACAACGAAATCGCTATGTTACATAATAAATTATTGTGTAATGCAATAATATTATTATGTTGCCCAGTCGACAAACGCAAACACAGTAAAAAGTAAAAAAAAAATAATATTGTTGTGGTTGACAGTAATATTACTGTAATGACAGTAATACTATATTGTGTTTACAGTAACATTAGTGTCAACCACATTAATATTACAATAGTAGACATAATATTATTACGTTGACGGGTCAACTAATCAACAAAATAAAAAAGCCAAAAAATAAATAAATAAAATTGATGTGGTTGGCAGTAATATTAATGTGTTTATAATAATTTTACTGTCGACCACAGTAATATTACAATAATAGACACCAATAATATTATTATGTTGACCGGTCAACAAATAAAAAAAAAAGGAAAAAAAAATAATATTAATGTAGTTGACATTAATATTATTGTGTTTACAGTAATTTTACCGTCAACGACAGTAACATTACTGTCACCGGTTAACGGCGGACGGGAAAAAGAACAGAAAAAGTTAAAAAAAGAAAAGTTTGAAAAAGAAAAAGTCAAAATTGAATTTTTTTGTCAAAACTGATGAAATTAAAGTTAAATTGATGATACAATTAGGAATTTGATTTAAAGTGTTGAGGGTAATTTTGTCATATACATTAAGTTTGACTTTATTTATAAGACATATTAAAGGGATTAGTTTATTGACAAAAAAAATAATAACACCTAAATCTAGAATAATAAAGATGGTTGATCAATGACCCCCTCACAACAATCTAAATAAATGGCAATTTGCTATATGTCCTCTTATAAGAAACTTTATGTGTATAAATCCAACTAATAACTCTTAATTTTAAATAAATATATTGTAATTATTATGTCAAAAATACCCCTAAAAAATATGGAAATAAAAATCTCCAAAATAATAGACTATTTTGTATAATCTTTAATCCCCAAATAGTGTATTTCTCATTCTCAAATCTTTAATTTCTTTTAGAAAAACAAAAGCGGTCTAGACAAAAAATATATCGTCACTGCCTTGCAGCCCTTGCCATAGATAAAAATCGTTTGCAGTTTGCAATTTTGAATCTCTGTTTGCAACTGTTTCTTCCCTGCCCTGTCATAGTTAGGAATCATTCGCAGTTTGCAGTTTTGAATCTCCGTTCGCAATTGCTTCGTCCCTATTTTGCCATAGTTAAAAATCATTCACAGTTTACAGTTTTGAATTTTTGTTTGAAATTGCTTTGTTCATGCTTTGCCATAGCTAAGAATCATTCGCAGTTTACAGTTTTATAATCTCTGTTTGCAATTGCTTCGTCCCTACCTTGGCATAGCTAAGAATCGAATGGCAAGAATTGTTCGCAGCTTGTGGTTTTGAAATCTCCATTTGCAGTTTTGAAATCTCCATAGATAATAATCGTTCGCTTCAAGCCTAAGAATTGGTTGCAGTTCAAATCTCTTCGTCTGTTTTTCATTAGTATTTGTTGGTTTGATGGTTTGAATAGAGAGAGAGAGAGAGAGAGAGAGAGAGAGAGAGAGAGAGAGAGAGAGAGAGAGAGAGAGAGAGAGAGAGAGAGAGAGAGATTTGTTTCTCACTTACGTAAATAACTAATTCCATAAAAAATAAAGATTAATAGTTTTAAGGGTACTTATGCCTAATAGCTTTTAATTCTATTTAATTTATATTATTTTTTTGGGTCAAACGATCTACACCTATATTCATCTAATCATTATGATCTTCACCCCATATAACTTCAAGAAATAGGACCTCAAGCCAATTTCTCTATAAATAAATGAGTCAAGCTGCTAACCCCATGAAGAAATACGTATACGCAACGTAGATTTTGCGCACGATAATTGTGTAACTTAATATGTTGCACTTCTAGGAAACAACACATATAAACTTTAAATAGAATAATTGGGCAAATTATTGCCACTTCCTGAGGTATGTTAAATTACAAAAAAAAAACTCTTCATGTTTGAGTAATTACAACCACCCCTTCAACTATGTATTGTCTTACACGTTTATCATTACGGTGTCAAATTTACCTATTGAATGAGGGATCAGTAAGACAATACATAGTTGTGGGATTGCTTGTAATTATACAAACAGATGGATTTTTTTTTTGTGATTTAGGCTTAGGATAATTCAGGAGATGGCCGTAATTTACCCTAGAATAACTTATTAATTGAATTTCAAAAGTTAATGAATTATTACCAAAAAACAAAAAGGAAGAAATATTAGTTAACATCAAAGAGTTTTATGTAGTAGCTTAGCTTCAATATTTAATGCAAAATTCCTCTTTAACTATTTCACAAAACAGAACCAACCAGTGGGTGCACCAAATCCTCTATGGTTTTGGTGCACTTTGTTCACCCAAAAAAGTGTAAAGATTCCTAACTTAGTGCGTGTCTGTGTGTTTTCTGAACCCTTAAATCCAACCCAATATAAATGCAAGCCCCCAATCACTTCTCATCCAACACAAAATAGTACACACATACACAATGGCTCTTTTAAATGTTATTACCTCCATGCAACAATGCAATATTCACTGTTTTGCCATTTTTGTTGCAATGATTCTCTCTCTCTCTTTTGCTTCTGCTGAGACTCATTACCATCAATTTGTTGTATGTCTCTCTCCAAAATCATATGATCACACACACACACACACACACACACACACACACACACACACACACACATATATATATATATTCATGTGATCTTATCCATTTTGATCATTAATGTTTTTTTTGTGTGTGTCTGAAATGTAATTAAATCAGGTTGAGGCAGCACCAGTGAAGAGGCTGTGCAAAACCCGCAACATAATCACGGTCAACGGGCAGTTTCCGGGTCCCACTTTGGAGGCGCGCGACGGCGACTCTTTCGTTATCAACGTCGTTAACGCCGCACGCTACAACGTCACTCTCCACTGGTAACTTTTTCCTTCAATCCAAATTTTAAAAAAAAAATCTAAACTATTTGTCATTTTTCCGCACATTTTTTCATCGATTCGAAATATCCGACAGGCACGGTATTCGTCAGATGAGAACACCGTGGGCCGATGGACCGGAGTACGTGACTCAGTGTCCGATTCAACCAGGAGCGAGTTACACATACAGGTTCAAGATTGAGAATCAAGAAGGTACCCTTTGGTGGCATGCTCATAGCAAATGGCTTAGAGCTACAGTTTACGGAGCACTCGTCATCTACCCTAAATTGGGTGTTCCGTACCCGTTTCCGATGCCCGAAAGAGAGATACCTATACTCCTCGGTAACCGAATTTAAAAAAAAATAAAATAAAAGAAAACCAACTACCATTTTTTCAACATATATATTATACTCTCCATTAAAACTGATTAATCTTTTTCCTTCAAACAGGGGAATGGTGGGATAGAGATATCATTAGCGTGTTACGACAGTCGAAATTTACGGGCGCTGCTCCAAATGTATCCGATGCATACACCATCAATGGCCAACCTGGAGATCTCTACAGATGCTCAAAGAAAGGTAGTTTGTTTTAGGCCTCGTTTGGTTTCTAAGTTAACATTAGTCAAGATAAGTAATCTTACGAAATCCCGGCCAATTGTATTATTGGATCCGGGGAGGTCCAATAGATAATCTTCCCAATTAGCTTTATTCTTTTCATATTTGCAGCCCAACCCGCAAAATTATTAGATCAACCAAGCATCAATAAAATTCAATTATTTAATTAATCATGACTTATCTCATCAGCCAAACGAGTCCTTAGCATGTGTAAATAAATACATACATTAGTCATCCTTTGTTTGAACATTAGTAAAATGATATAAAACTCTTTTTTTTTGGTGGCTTAGAAACAACAAAATTCAACGTAAGATCGGGGGAGACGGTTCTTCTTCGGATCATCAACGCCGCACTCGATCAAGAACTCTTCTTCACAGTTGCCAACCACATGCTAACCGTGGTTGGGAACGACGCCGCTTACAACAAGCCGTTCCAAACCATGGTTATCATGCTCGGGCCCGGACAAACCACCAACGTCCTTCTCACGGCCAACCAACCCGCGGGCCGTTATTACATAGCCGCACGCGCCTACGCCACCGCTCAGAACGCACCGTTCGACAACACAACCGCCACCGCAATCCTCGAGTACAACAACTTTCTCTCACAAAGACCCTTAATGGCCACACTCCCTCGGTTCAACGACACCGCTACGGCAACCGCATACACAAGCCAAGTAAGGAGCCTATCTTCAGGTAAAGTTTTCACCCGAATCGACGAGAACTTATTCTTCACCGTCGGATTAGGCCTCGTGAACTGCCAACCCGGGCCTAGATGCCAAGGCCCGAACAACACGCGGTTCGCAGCCAGCATGAACAACGTGTCATTTGTTTTCCCAAGAAGGACATCACTACTACAAGCCTACTACCAAAACATAGGTGGGGTCTACACGACGGACTTCCCGCGGGTCCCGCCAGTTGCATTCGACTATACGGGCAACGTGAGCCGCGGGCTGTGGCAGCCCCGTTTCGGGACGAAACTATACAAGCTGAGGTTCGGCTCGAACGTGCAGATTGTTTTGCAGGACACTGCTATTGTCTCGACCGAGGACCATCCGATGCATCTTCATGGATACCATTTCTTTGTTGTGGGCCAGGGCTTCGGCAATTTCAACCCGAGAAGAGATACAGCGAGATTCAACCTCGTCGATCCTCCCCTGAGGAACACCATCAATGTACCCGTTGGTGGATGGGCCGTTATTCGATTTGTGGCAGATAATCCAGGTTAGTGAAGCTGAAACATATATATTTACGAATAAATTGCATTTATTAATAGGCCTTATCAATATATTTTTGTCGAATTCATTTCGGTTTTTTTTTTTTTTTTGTTTGCAGGAGTTTGGTTGATGCATTGTCACATAGATTCCCATCTAACTTGGGGCTTAGGTATGGCATTCTTGGTCGAGAACGGAATCGGAGAATTGCAGTCCGTCGCGGCTCCTCCACCCGATCTCCCTCCTTGTTAGAATTTTTTTTTCTTTTCGATTTATCAAGTAATTATTGTATTTATTACTGTTTTCTCCATTCATTTCATTGACAAAAACAAGTCAATAGTTTGTTCATGTTGTATTGTTCTTTTCCTACTTCCATTACCAATGTATCCGAAGGTCTAGAATCGGCCGACAAAGGTCTTTAACGAGGCCACCCTGTATTCGATTTTTATTAATGGAATAGAAGTCGTATTCTGGCAAAAAAAAAAATATTGATCTAGAATCGAACTAACGGGAGATTCTTGAAACGATTTTTACGGTTTCTCTGAACAAAAAGAGCAGAATTGTACATACAATAAAGTAATTTAATGTGTGTGTGTGTAGCTCTAAAATGTGCACAAAAACCTGCATTAGACTTCTTTTTACATGCATACGTAACCCTACTTTGTACAAAACGAAAAACTTCTAACCGGATTATGCGAAGCCTTCTCTTGCCCTCTCAAGATTTGCTGCTGCACAACCAAAACCGAAGCCCTACTCCCGAAATCCAACGAGGCAACATACTCCCCTATAATTCCTAACTCGGCGTTCTCGCTCCAATTCGACAGCCCTTTCAAAAGAACCGGATTTATCCCGTACTTTCTCCCCACGATCCAAAGATCGTACGGCTCATTCTTCATCGCCTGAATAGCATCAATCGTTTCCTCCCCATTCTTCGACACCACCTCTCGATAAACGACTCGTCTGTTCCCTTCATTCTTCACCCAAAACCAAGTCACGAGAGCATCGTCCATCTTCTTCTCCACGTGATTATCCCCTTCGTCCTCGTGCGAGAGAAATCTAATCACCGTTAGTGAAATCCGAGTGTTTCCCGCCATTCGGTCCGCGTAAGAGAGCGCCTCCCTCGCGTCCGCACCGCCCAAGAAAAGGACGACAAAGTGGTGGTCCGTCGAACTTCTCAACACGCCGCCGATTAGGTTTCGGCAAGGGGTCTTGTCCACTAGAATCCCCACCGAGCAAGGCGCGTGCGAGAGCACGTTCGAACTCACGGACTGAAAGCGCTGCCTGTTCATCGTCGTCGCTCTCAGGTTGTCCGCTATTTTCTTGTGGAGCGGTAGAATAATCAGGCACGCCTGCTTCGTGAGCGCCAGCTCGCACACGTCTTGGTACATGCTCCTCTTGGGCGAGATCGCCGTGTACGAGTGTATCTTGACGCACCCGTTTCTAGCATCCTCGAATATCTTCAGCGCGTTGCGTATGGAGCTCGACTTCGATCCCTCGTCTCGTTTCTCGTCTTCTTGGTCGTGGTCGATGAACACAGGATTCGCGCGGCCGAGGAGCTCGACCAGGCACAGGGCGTGCACGGAGAGAGGGCTGCTCGACGTCGGATTAAAGAGCTCGAGAAGTTTCATGAGCCCGCTGAGATTCTCTTCGCCGTGAATGCCGGCCACTATGTGGAGCTCGGTGTTGGGAGGCGTGTGCTGGATGTTACGCCTCGTGTCCACCATGTAGGGCCTCGTCGGGTCGTAGATTATGCTGATTAAGGGTGACGCCACAGCGGTCACAGCCAGTGACAGTAGCACAAGAATTGTGAACTCGGGCTGCATTATCATCTGCAGAGATCCACAAGACCGGTTCATGATCGTAACAATAATATAGTTTATTGCATTTAGTACCCATGTGCAATACCAAATTGCTAAAAACCCTCGATACATTTTTTTTCAGCAGACAAACCCCTGTAAAATGGTGCATGTAAATTGCTAATAAAATTGAAATTTTGCTAATGTTTGTAATACGATGAGTTTTTTTAACAATTAGAGTGAACACAAGGGGGTGCTAAATGCAGTAAACTTCATAGTAATGTATCGAACAAATAACAAAGCTAAGAAAAACCTCAGCAAAAAATCCAATGTTATTTTATTGGCAAAATCCTCTATGATTCAATTTTTTATAACTAAACTAACCCCTAAAAACTCACTTGTATAATAAGGGGGCTATTTGCTAATATTTATAACATAGGGAGTTCTTTAGCAATTCAATGTAACACAAAGAGGGTACTAAATGCAATAAACTCTTTAAAAAACATTTACCTTAAAATCCATCCAGTGCATAAACAAGAGAAGTTCCACCTCACCCCTTAAACTCATTATCAAGCTGAGGGTGAGACTATCTCGAATCGTCATGCCCAAGAAACGAGAAGTGAAGAGCGTCGACAGCATTTTGACGGCGTAACCAACTAACACCATGTAAAGAAGCGGTTCCAAATGCGACCAATGGCCGCTCATGGAAGAAAGATCGGTAATCATGCCGACATACATAAACGAAAAGGGCATGAGAATATCCATCACGATCGTCTCGCTCTTCTCCACAAGAATGGCCCCCAATGGGGGGCCGTCCGGTACAGCCAAACCGAGCCACAAAGGCCCATTGGCTACTGCCAGCCCAAGCATATCCGAGAAAAATCCAACGACCAAAACGCCCCCCAGTATTGCAACCACGTAGATCTGATCCACCGGCTTCCCTTTAGGGGTATTTCGGACAATCCACATCATGGCGTGCCTGAGTCCGACTATGATGAACACCAGCACGACTGCCAACGAAATCATGTACCACAAAGCTGCTATTGCCCTGTGCTCCCCTTGCTTGGACGCCTCGAATATGACGACGCCGTTCATTCCGATCACGTCACTTATTATCGCTGTCGATAGTGCCATTTTCCCGATTTCGGAGCTGAGTAGATTCAGCTCCTTCACTATGCGATAAAGAACGGGGAACGCTGTGATAGCTAGTGAAGAAGTTATCCCGAGTATCGAGGAAGCTTTCGACATCTCTTTGCCCAGAGATTTCCTCACGGCAATCGCAACACCTACGCCGCAACAGAGCGGCACAACTATACCGACTATCGCAATGTACCAATTCTTTTTGTCGGCTTTTCTTATCGTAGATATGTCCATTTTCACCCCGGATATGAAGAGGAAATACATGAATCCCATCACTG